TGTGATAAAGAGGACGACATAGACGCGGAAGATGACAGTGATCAAGGCAACGGTTATGAAGTCGATGAGCCAGAAAGATCAAGATCGTCGGATGTGCCACTCACTGACGAACAGCGTTCCGTGTATCGGCAAGAAAAGCGTGAAGGCATCAACATTTAAACCAATTTGTGATATTCGCGGTGAGTAGACAATTAAAAGGTTTCCTCTCCTCGTAACCAAGGCGTATGAGGTTAGAATTTGTTAAGTGAAAGCGCGATTATTGCTCCAACGTTTTCTTGGGGTTTCAGTTTTCATCGCAAAATACTGACTTGACGTTACTGATGCTATCAAATTGACGGACTATCTGTAATCACCTCCCCAGGGTAGAGACAGGGTTTTGAAAGGCTACACACATCCCAGTAGTAGGAGATCCGATCGTGATTTACGTTCGGCGCTTGCCGATAGCGGGCTCACCGGTATAGGTATGGCTAGCTTCAGTGTTGACCGAATGCGAGGTAAAGCCCAAATTCAACGTTAAGATCACACATTTATGCTCATTGATCTTGATCTAATTTATTAGGAAAACCGTGCTATATCTTACCGCTCTCTGCGGTGGAAAACGGGCACGGTGAGCGCAGCTGACGCGAGGGTAAGTGTGAACATTTGGGATGCTTAAGTCATAAGTGTTTCAGCTTTCTAAAAAGTTCTAGACGTCATAAAAGGGGCCCCATCTTTCCTTACGACCCCTCTAGCTGTGTTCCAGAAGGAAATTATTTGATTCGGATGGTGATTCTTTAGCTCACGCCGATCTCTTTGCGATAGCCGCTGAGTCAGGACTTACAACAAGGATGGTTTGAAAAACCTTAAAAATTATAAAATAATGACAAAAAGTGACTTGTGCCTCAGACGTGGTGAAGTCCTATTAGAACACGATTGTAGGTTGTATCCCAGGCAAACACGAACTAGATCGATGTTAATTGTAACTTCGGGTAAAAATGAGCGATTAGATTTTCTGCTAACTTCGCGCCTGAAAATCGCCAGTATTTAATGTGCTCCTTTCTTTTTTTTTGGCTCTGAATGCTAACAAACTTTTGGACAGACAAACTGATGGCTTAAAATGCTTTGGATCTTTAAATTTAGTTGATTAAACAGGTGCAATGTGACTCTTGATTTACAACTGGAAGTCTATTGGTTGTAGCCAGCTTATCGTTTAAGCCTTAAGATGATTGAGACACATAAAATGATGTCAAGTGCGTCAGACGTTAACAAAAACAAGGTTACAGGCAGCTGTTGTCTCAAATTAATTCTAGAATGTTGTTTAAAGAGCCAAAAAAAGGTTGCTAAATGGAGCTGAGAAAATTTGTGCTGCATAAGTTTAAACAGAAAAAAAGTTTAGGGATGTGCATAGGGTGCATCTGATGAATTGATCTCCACAGATTGCATGTTTGCAATAGCGTCACATATTTGTCCAGTTGCTTGATAAGCACTCTAATGCAGGTCATAGGTCGGTGACGGCACTTACGAGAAGAAATCCTCCTGCGTAGGCACTTTGCTTTTGATTATTAGATGAAGTGCCTAATGAGGCTAAAATAATTGACTTCGCACCAGAAGGATATGACCCGGTTGAATCAGCTTTGTATTCTGTTAATAAACCAAATGGAGCGTGAATCTCCTCAGAAAATTGCTGCATTGTAAGCACCGTCTTCACCATGAACCTAAGTTAGGTGTACCATGCTCAAAATGGGATACTACCACACAAGCTATCTAATCCATCTCACTTCCAAAATATAATTAAAAAATTTGTTAACATTCTGTCTCTGCTAGCTAACAATTTTTTGACAAAGCAAATGGTCAGGCGAGAGTATACGCTCAAAACTTGGTACTTCCGTAGCTACTTATGCTATATTTAAGCAATTTAGCAAGGCTAGCTGCATTACGTCCAGCCTTCCTACAGTGGCCGACATCTGCTATATAGCTATGTCGGTGCTACGAGAAATAAAAGGCTCCGAGTGCTTGGATATGCATGACACCATTGCTTTTTTATGTATGCAGCATGTCATTGATGAAATTTCGCAAAACCCAGGGATCGTTAATGGGTAAGACGAAAAGCAAGAATCGTAGCTTTCACCCATATAAGCAGCATTTGTTGATGTGGGCATGAAGGCGTGGCATATAAGTGCATTCTAGTTGCCCATAATAAAAGTAAGCTTTGTAATCGCTCCTGTTTGGCGACGCCATCTTTCGATATAAGCTTGCACACGATCGTGTCATCCCCAATAACTTCTAAGTTTATTGTAAATCTGACAAGATGTATGACGGCTTGTACACTTGAGCTTGCGTCGCTCTCACAAACGCAAGATTCCAATTGAATCCTCTTCGAATTGGCGACGGATACGCTAATTACTATACTCGGCTATACGCAATGAAGAAAGCGGAAGCACTATCAGGCAATCGGCCACTAGGTTTACCTCACCGGGCAAGTCTCTCGACTCCATCAATATGGAAGTCCAGATGAATTTTAGCCGGCGAAGATACAATTGCGATACTGTCAGTTTAAGGAAGCATAATACAGAGTCGTTCATGTAGCTGATAGAGCAGTAGATTCATTTTACAATTGGGTCGCCCTAGACTTTGCATAGAGTAAGCTTTGACTCACATTTCTGTGTGTGAATTACGCATCGGTTGAGCTTCTACGCAAGAGCGTCTACAGCTCTTGATTTGCTTTTCTAAGAGTGACATAAATTCAGGATAAATGATATTAAGACTAATACAAATTTTGGTGTGTCCCTATTTCCATGTATAAAACTATCTATATCATCTGACGTAAGTCTAAATCCCGTGTTGACGAATAGTGATCTTGAACTGAAAAAACTTCCATCTCCAATCCCAGAGCACTCGAAAGCCCTTAAAGTAAAGTCTGGGCAATTGCAGTAACGCATCGGATCTAATGCTATCAGAGTCCTCTTCTTTTTCTGGCCGAGACGACGCTCGTCGAAGAAGTAGATGATGATACAAACCCGCTTTACTGTAAGCTTCAGTTGGCTGTCCAATGGTTTGACTTTTTTCTGCAAGTCCATAGATCCGTTGTCGGTTGTGTTCGACGAGCTATACAATGCGGTTCGGAACCCCAGTATTTGACTTGAGGCCTACCGCTGCCTGTGTTGGTTTGACGCAATTGTTGCCTTTCTTTACCCGTGATCTTTGCACTTCCATTGATCTGGCGAATAAGACTAGCCAACTTGCATCTCAGTATGGATGTAGCGCACAGTATCTATTTTGTGCATATTACCTAAGAAAGGAGGAATCAAGGCAACAGTGTGTTCGATCATACTGAAGCACTATCCTTCTAGCATGTAGACGATTCTTCTCTAGTCTCATGTCTTGTTTATTGTCCTGGTATGAAATGTGATCAAAGTAAACCTTGTTATCTGTAACGGACGCAACTTTCTTCTCCTTGACTGGTCGTTGGTGAAGTACTGCATCATGATCTCATGCCAGTAATTCCTCACTTGACGTAATGCTCGGCCGTCTATTCTTGAAAGTATAAAGGCTCAAGCTTCGTTTTGAAGTTCATAACGTCCAAGGCATCGTCCGAACATTTACTCTCGGCGCACCTGCTTCTCATTTTATCTAGATTGCTGATAGCAATCTGCTGCTTGACTACTCTGATCCTGCAAGCGATAAGCAGGATTGCAACAGCAGGAGTACCAACGTCCACCAGGAGATGCTGAGTCTTTTCGATGAAGGAAAAGGCCTCCTTACAATCGAGAAAATACTCCACGGAGCCTTTATCGGCTTTCTCCTCTTCACCAATGGCGGCTAGGTGAGTAAGTCCAGAAAGCGTCCTATGAAGCCGATAACCGTCTTTGATCTTTCGCTAAAACGTATTTAAGGAATGCTGTTATGACCTCTATCTCCTTCATCAAGTTGTCGCTGGTATCTTTATCAAGATGCAGACTGTTGAGGATCTGCTTTATGAGGTTAAAAGACCATTTAATAGAAAGCCAGTCACATAGTCAACTGCCTTCCGCAGCCTTATTGCGGCCGACGTCAACGCTCTCACTATGCAAAAAAAATGATTCTTGATACTGGAATCTTCTCCTCACCACGATGTGACCCCGAACTTTCAACCTTCTCCACATATCTTTGTAAGGTGTTTTTTTTGCTTTCTCATGACAGCGGAAAAATCTGGGTTTGACCATCAAACAAAAGCCTCTGAGTACGCTAGGAGGTACACGAGACGTTGCCATCGAAGACTTTAAAGGACACAGCCTCATCGATATCTGCGGGCTTGATCCTTTGAAGAACCCGCAAATTTTTGTGAGCTAATTTTCCTTGCTCATTGTCTCAAAGTTTATAAGGCCGTTTAAAAGCACATGTTTGGCACAAAGAAGCTTGGGACAAGATGTCAGTAGTCTGCAAACCCGCCTAGCGATCATTTTTGCAAAATATTGTTTTAATAACTCTCTTCTCTACTGAATTTTTCTTATCCGTCACATAACAGCTGGTCACACCTCAAATACAATCAGCGTCACCATCGCTACCATTTGAAGTGCCACCAGCAGTCGTTTAACCCGGTGCCTCTCATTCGTTAGCAAGAAAATGCGTCAAGCGAAGTCTTCGAGGCTGCCTCAAATTGTCCACAAAAAACTAACGGATCTCAGTAATGACTGCTTCATATGCCCAAAGGACTCCTTTGATTTTAAAGGTATCTAGATAATGTCAGGAGCTGGGGACTTTTCTGACAGCAATGTTGGTAAAGTTGGAGCAAACTTTCACGGTCTTCTTTGCTTCAACACCAAAAGCTATCAAAATGCTAGCGTGCGGCTTCAAGCAACCCGCAAATGTACGAGATGAAGCCCGGCATTCATTTGCTGCATGTGGTTGTGAAGTAGAAGATGCAGCTGCTAGTGGTTGTTGTTGCTGCTGCTGGAGCAATTCTCCATCGTTAGCAGGCTTCGCAGGGGAGCCTCTAGCAGGAGAAGCGATTTTTACGGTTCCTTCATTATTAAAATTCAGTCAGGAGTGTTCGGCAGGCCGGCTATTTCTATCTTTAAAGCCATGTGGAACACCAACGCGTTGATGTTCCACATATAAGATTATTTTTGTATTGATTTTTGTATGCTACCTCCATTAGTGGGATCTCCGGAACTGTAACAAAATCTGTCGTGACAAACCACGGGATTCCTTCCATTTCTGAGCACTCGCCGGACCGTGATCGAGAGTTTTGGAGGCAAAAAACCTTGGGCACAGGCCAACGACTGCTTACTTTGGACCAAAATCGCCAGATACAGGTACATGTTAAGCGCAACACGTGCATCAAGCTGTTCCAGATTCAAGAGTGGATACGAGCCAATTCAAGGTCAATCTATCGCGCTTGACGGCGGATCGTATCATCCATGCGCCAGAAAGCATTCAACGGCTCTCAAGTCCGTAAAAGGAATTGCAGTGCTCGTTTTTTGTGTCCGAGTCGGCTTTTCTTGCGCTGTACAATAACAATGACGGCAAGGCCATCCTCACGACGATCTCTTGATGACAGAGACTCGCTCCATTCGAAACAGACTCGGCATCACGGATGCCGATCTTAGTCTGTCTAACGGGCGGCTCTACAAGTTCAAGACACGTCACCGCATCAAGTTGCATACATTGCATGGTGAAAGCCATTCTGTTGGTCGTGTCAGCCTCGCTGTCAGTCAGTACGAGCTCCAAGATCTCATTGCCCAGTGCAACTCCGACGACGTGTTCAACTTGGACGAGTCTGCGCTTCTCTACCGCATCACTTCCGACAAAACACTCGCGTCCGTCGGTCGACATGGTTCAGCAACTGAAAAATACCGTTTTGAGGGTCGATTTTGTTGCAATCTATCTGGAACTAAATATACTAATGTTATTGTTACTGGCAAGGCGAAGCAGCCACGAGCGTTCCGACAAGTCAGGATTTCAGCAATGCGATTCCAATATTTCTACAATTCGACCGCGTGGCAGAATCAAACCACGTTTGCCACTTGGCCTCAGCGTTTCAACCTCGAAATGAGCGGCCGCAAGGTTCTTCTACTTCTGGTAATGCGTCCAGCCATACAGTCAACTATGTATGTCGGAATGTGACGATAAAGTTTCTGCCACCCAACATGACATCATTGACCCAGCCATTAAATGCAGGTAAGCAATACGGTATCACAGCTCTAACTGCCTACCAACTACTGTCTCAGAGATCGGTATTGATGCAACCTCGTTCGCTGGCTGCTTGATGCCATGCATGCTGGCGTCAATCAGAAGTTGGATGGGTTAGAGGGTATGCAATTTGCGATCGCCAGTTGGGTAGAAGTGCCCGCTCAAGTGCTGCACAACTGCTGGTTGCAGTGCAACATTGTTGACAATGGCACGATTGAGGCAGGAGAACGATTATGGTCGCGCGTTGGATGCGAGCGTAGAAGAGGATCTCGCTGCGCTGATGACAGAATGTGTGTTACTGACGGTGTCAATGCGTACATTCCGCAGACTCAGCATACCTAGTTGAATGTGTCCAGGATGTGATCGAACGAGTTGGGCTTGATGCGGATCAAGAAAGTGACAACTACTCGGAGGCTGAAGCCCAATACCACCATCAGCGTCTCTGGCTTGCTGTGTCAAGCGTGCAGAGTTTATTGCTCGTCATCCCAACTGCGACAAAGAGACACGAGCTCTAGCCAAAGTAGGGCGGAAAGAATGCATTGAACGCAACCATAACTCAGTATTTTGAATTAGGTTAATTTGTTACCCTCCCAATGTGAAGTGGAAGATCGTCTGGTGGTGTCCACATACAGAGGTGTGAGTGTATTGATTTCAATGAAGTAAAAAGCGTCGTGGATTATTCTAAATTTGTACGATGTACAATTTCTATGGCCAAATCCTCAAATTCTAAGCGGTACTTTTATTATTTAAAAGGCATCATATCGCTCGTATGTAAGATTTCAACCGACGCATCAGTCGATTTTGCTGCAATGAAAGACTGATTTGCGCTTGTTACAATATAATTGAGCTATTCACGTAATTGCCAGGATACTTTTGTCGAAAACAAGAGCTTGTTGAAAGTACTTTAGGCCACTCATTCGATAGCATGTATGGCATAGCGTTGGTTGCACCATTTGAAGTCACCAACTTCAATGCTCGTGATATCCTTCTTAGCAACGTATCCATCAGGAAAGTTAGGCACGTCAATGTGCTTGCCCAGTTCGACTGCGAGTTGCGATCGGACAAGAGCGACACCCTCCGATGTTCCAGATGCGATATGCTTGGTTTCCACGTCATGATAAAGTCTCCCTGTCGAAAGCGAAATACGCAACGTGTCCGGTAGGAAGGGCATCGCAAGCTCTCCACCACCAAATGAAAGCATCCACTTGCCACTAATGTCATCCCGGCGCAGGTCCTCAAACACAAGTGGTCGGTCTGCGCATTTTATAAAATTTGTCTCTTTTCCGCACGGCGACCGGTAGGGATAGTCTAGAAACTGTTCCTCATCCTTTACGTTGCACTGCAAAATGCTGTTTGGTTGCACTTGAGAAAAGAAAAACCGCAAGAACTTTGCGCTCTTAAGTGACGTCGCAATATTTTTTGGACGTGTGTCTTCCAGGAACAGGCGGCCCTGTTTAATAAAAATACAAACTTAGTCACCATCATGTAGTCGTATCCTTTTTCGTAGCCGGCTAATTTACCTGTAAGTCTATATAGTAAAAGTACCGACGTTTTTGGCTTTGTTCTTCGTAGAATCTCACACTTTAGCAGCAGCACAGTATATTGCTCAGTATTCAATAATTAAGCCCTTTACGATTACAAGCCACCTCTTGATGTCCTTCAGTTGTTTCAGCTCAAGATACTTGTCTTCAGCAGCCGTGCAGAGGCCTCGCCGCCCGATGGTAGCACGTCGACATTGCCGACAAACGAGCAAGATCATATATCGTTTATTTTCTCGCCAAAGTGACTTATTTTAGTGACATCAAAACGGCACTTCAAAATGGCCGCGAATGGTTTGATCAGCAAGAATTCCTCCTATCGTAACAATTGCGATCGCGTGATACGTACTCATCGGGGTGATAAATTAGTTTGCGCGGCCCCATCTGGTAAGATTAGAATCACTAGTATCATCGAAAGAAATGAGCATCAACGAAAGGACTCTGGAGACTTGACGTTATCCTGCGCGACGCCTTTGGTCACCAGACAACCTCTTAAGCCAGCTCTGGACCGGAATGATATCGCCAAACAATGTGTGCTTATGGCAGCTCAAACTCATGATGCACTCCTTGATGCGCACGAACTCGATGCTGAAATGAAGGACATGACGATCTGGCTTCAAGCGCACACTTTGCCTTCGAAGTGGCGGCGTCAACTTCTCATTCACTTGGACACAATACACTGCCAAATGAGATTTTGCCGTGAGCAACTGCTGCATGGATGGAAGCTAATACATCCGCCATTTCACCAGCCTAGTTTAGACTTGTTCGATCGCAGACTTCGGCTTTTTGAACAATCGGTGCAGCTGCTTGCCGCAGCCATCAAGGAATGCAAGAGCAAAATGCTCAATGCGGAAGCCCTTGCAGCTTGTCGGTTTATACAGCTCTGGACTCGGCAACTCCTAGCAAAGGTTTGCTGCATTTTTATTAGGCAATCATTGTGCTAATCTATTTTTGATACTTGATAGCGAGGATTTTACACTAAAGTGATCAACCTATCATTTCACCACCGAGGCATCGTGGCTGGCATGTTCGACTCAATAAAAGGCACATCGAAGCTTACGACTCATGGTCGGAACCAAAATATCACTCTTGAATACCCGCGCTCAGATAACAATTGGGATAGTTTGAACAAGTGATACTAATTTAGGATGCTACGCTTTAATTTATAACAAATTTTCAGAATAACCTTTTAGAAGCTTTCGCGTTGCTTGCTCTTCATTGAACTGAATGATCTAGCGAACGAAAAAGAAATGTGAATGGAAATTTGCAGCAACTCTAACGTCAATAATGGCACGCTGAGTAGCATTTTGATAACTGTGCTGCAAAGTGGTGGGAGCTTTGCACAGGGAATGTTCTGCCCACCCGAAATGTACGAGATTACTGTTAACTTTGCACAGTTTACACCCATCTTCGAATGTTTGTGACCAGGCTAGTAATCCTTGTTGCTAAATTTTCTCCCACTTTCTGCTGGCTCCGCAGTTATAGACCACTGAAGGGCTTTAACTCTGTTGGAACTGACTTTGTAAATAAAACAAAGAAGAGTTGAACATGCTTCGCACCATCGCCAACAAGTGACCGAATGCGTGCGAAAGTACTTGTCGGATGCGCAAGACGCCCAAAAAAGGTTTTACGACATCGCTCGTCCGACTTTTTCAAAGTTGGTGACACTGCCTTGCACTGAAAATCTCGCACGCAATCGCCAACGCAGCGATGCGTTTCATCGGCTCGTTCACCATACATGAGCTTGAGCCTCAAGGCAACGTCGCGCTTGTTTCGCTGACTTTCCGTCGAAGACTTGGCCCCTGTTGAACATACTGCTAATAGTTCCTCTAGCGATTACTCACTGCTTGGTATGCTGCTTATACAAATCTCGAAGTAGCTTCTATACATACTGGAATTGCTTTGAATGTTATTGGCTGTAGGCGAAATGCACAAAACTCATCGCAACACATACTTTACAGTATTTACGGGGTTTCCGACGAAGTATCTGAGCTATGGCACGTAAAACGTAAGATCTTGCTCGATCTTGCTCAACATTTCACTCGCGAAAAAAGTCAAAAAGGTTTCATGTACCTCAAATTGATTTTACAGGTCGTTATATTCTCATAGATGATGTGATCAAACATGCCGATATGCTCACCAATGATATTGTACTTTGAATTTCTTAATGGATCACTAGATGACTGTTGCCGCAATTGATCTTCACCAATATTGCCAATCTTTGCTTTTACGGCTCACTCCACATTAGTCCTGAGGAGTAACCAGCGCTAAACCCACACAACTTGAGCATGTTTTGTTAGTCCAGTCCTTTCACCATAAGCTGTGCCTTAGTGCGATCGATCGTAAGATATTCTTGATCATTACGACCGACATTGATCACCAATGGGAGTTTTTCCTCTGATCCTGAGAGCGTTAAAGCTGAATAACTTATCGCACAATTCAGCAGCAGATGACCTGAGATTTGATTTGCAGACTCAAATCACCAGCAATCATATTAAAGCTACAATCGTTGCTCTTTCACTCCACTCAAAGTCCAAGCTGTGTTTCTTGCACGTGTACAATCGTTGCTCTTTCACTCCACTCAAAGTCCAAGCTTATGTTTCTTAAAAAAAGTTTACAATGAAAATGAAATATCACAAAATCATTGACACTATCATTTAATTGTATGACTGAATGTGGGGATACAATATTGCATTTTACGCTGTTACTCCGCAAGGATACTCCTGTTTGCTTGTTCACAACGGCGGCATTGGTCTGTAGTTTACTTAGCGTGATTGTCGTTACGACTTTTTGCGAAAGAGCTCGCAATTTGAAAAAGTATGTTCTTCAAACTTCCATCCAAAATAAAATCATTATACAGTTTGCAGAAGCTTCATAAAGGGCGTGAAGCAATTCTCGTTGTTGCTATGGTTTTTGCTACAGTTGTTGACGGCACTCAAGTTCGACAACCCTCCGTTTCAGCGACTCGTTTTCCTCCATGAGCACTCGAATAGTTGCCTCGAACTTTCGTGTCTTCTCCTTATTGCGCGTAGCCATCTTGATGATGCGCTCTCTTAGCTGCTGTTCCATGGAAGTGCTCTTGCCTCCAGGATTGTGCCATAATCTGATGTGCTTCTTTAAACTTTTGGGACTGCAGAAACTTTTTGAGCACGTGGGATGGTCGCACGCATAAGGGTTGCCTTCAGCATGGATTTTTAAATGGAATTCAAGATAATCTTTGCCTTTAAAACTCTTAGAACAATCCGCATACGTGCACTTATAAGGTTTATCGCGCGAGTGTGTTTGCAAATGGCTGTCAATAACACACGAGTTAGCACAGTTCATTTCCATTTTGATGAAGATTCTTAGCTGCTACGTACCGCGTCATGGCAGATTTTTCAGCAAATGATTTATCACACGATGGGTGCGTACAGGGGAATGGTTTTTCTCCTGTATGAACACGAATGTGACTACAAATACGGTAAACGCTCTAACTAGCCAAAACAATGTCATGATCGAGAACGCACCGAACAAGTGCCCACTTCGAGTCAAAACTTTTACCGCAGTTGGGCAAATCACACACATGGCGTTTTTGTTGCCATGTTTCTCTCGACGACGCAGTTGACGGTGCTGGTGACGTCGGCTCTGGATCTAGCAGCATATCTTCAACAGCATGCATGGCCATACCCATACTTGCATTGATCTTCGACAGCGGCTGTACCGCCGTCAATGCCTGCATATCAACACCAGCAGAAAGATACGCATTTGTCATAGCCAAATGGTGCTGTGGATCCATAATAGAGTGAATGTACAGTATTGTCGGCGGTCAGTGTTTGAATCGCCGCAATTATCAAGGCAACTTGAAATTCTTTGCTAAAACCCAATTGGCCAATTATAATCTATAGTGGAGTACATCTGTTTAGCGTTTTCTACATCCTTGTCCTCTTTGATGACAATCACTCTTCTCTTCACTCCCGACAATGGAGAAGCTCCAGGAGTTGAGTCTTGTGTCCAAGGTATGTCAAGCTCTAGAGAATCACCTTGGCATGAGTGACAAGACGCTTGCCGAGTTTGTGATCGATTTGGTCCGTGGAAGCTCTAGCTGCGCCGCATTTCTGGCGTCTATCAAAAAAGACGAGCTGCCGCTTCCTTTAGCGCTGGCCGATAATTTGTACCGCATTGTGCAAACTATGGCGCCACACAAGATGAAAAGGAGCCCGGAATGTTCCAGCGAACACAAGGTTAATGATAAAAAGCATCGATTTCGGGATGATGAGCAATTGACGGCCGCGGATATTATGGGAGCATCCATCGAGGACGATGATGAGATTAAGCCGTCTTCCTCTGGACTTCGTAGCCGAAACAATGACGATTACTTGCAAGTCAAAGAGCGCGATCGCTATGGGCGTGACAGGAGTCGCACGCGTGACGAAGCCAATGACCGGAACCGAAAACGATTGCGATCTAGATCTCATTCAATTGATAGAAGACGAAAAAGACGGGATCGCAGTCATGGACGTGTGCGGGACCGCAGTCATGGACGTGAGTGGGACCGCAGTCATGGACGTGAGCTGGACCGCAGTCATGGACGTGAGCGGGACCGTAGTCGCGGCCGTGATCGAGACAGACAAAGGCGTGAGCTGGAGCTATATTGCATCTACGACGGCCGTGTAGCAAAAGTTATGGACTTTGGAGTGTTTGTAGAGCTAGAAGGCTTTTCGAGAGAGAAGAAAGAAGGTTTGGTGCATGTGTCAAACCTGTCCGCGAATCGTATCAGCAATATAAAGGAATTTGTCAGACGCGGCGATCGTGTTAAGGTGAAACTCATCTCAATATCTGGAACCAAACTTTCGCTGTCTATGCGCGACGTGGATCAAAAAAGTGGTAAAGACCTGATGCCGGAACGATCAAGTGATGGGGCGGAGCATGCACGGCAAGCAAACAAGGCCTCAGACTCACGGTCGTGGATTAATCCGGCGGCACCTGGCATGCAGACCTCGCAACAGTTTGATGAAGATGATAGCAAGCCACAGCGCGTAGCCAAACGGATGTCATCGCCTGAACGATGGGAAGTCCAACAATTGATCAACTCGGGTGTACTATCGATTGAAGAGTATCCGACATTTGATGACGAGCATGGTCTGCTGAACAGCGAAATCACCGAAGAAGACTTTGAGGTGGAGCTGAATGATGATGAGCCAGTGTTTCTGCGCGGCCAGACGCAGCTGAGTCGCGAACTGTCACCAGTGAAGATTGTGAAGAACCCGGATGGATCAATGCAACGTGCTGCCATGACTCAATCTAACTTAGCGAAAGAACGTCGCGAATTACGCCAGACACAAGCCAACCAGCTGATTGATTCTATCCCCAAGGATCTTAATCGTCCTTGGGAAGATCCCATGCCTGACGCTGGAGAACGACACTTTGCACAGGAATTGCGTGGCATCAACATGGGAACAACGTTTGAGCTGCCAGAATGGAAGCAAAAGTCAGTGGGAAAGAATCTATCTTACGGTATCGTGTCAAACAAATCTATTCTCGAGCAACGTGAAAGTCTGCCTGTTTTTAGGCTCAAGCCCCAGCTAATGAAAGCTATCGCAGAGAATCAGATCTTGGTGGTAATCGGGGAAACTGGCTCGGGTAAAACCACTCAGATGACGCAGTACATGGCCGAAATGGGATTGACGTCAACGGGTATAATCGGATGTACTCAACCGCGTCGTGTTGCTGCCTCCTCCGTTGCTAAGCGTGTTGCCGAGGAATTCGGGTGTGAGCTAGGGCAGGAAGTTGGGTATTCCATGCGATTCGAAGATGTCACTAGTCCTGAAACGGTGATCAAGTACATGACAGAAGGTATGCTCCTGCGAGAATATCTGGCTGATCCTACGTTGTCGAAGTATAGTGCTCTAATGCTGGATGAAGCACATGAGCGGACAATCAATACAGATGTATTGTTTGGGTTGCTGAAGGATCTCGTACGTAAGCGAAAGGACCTTAAAATTATTGTGACATCTGCCACATTGGATGCTGAGAAGTTTTCGAGGTACTATTTTGACTGCCCAATTTTCACGATCCCGGGCCGTACATTTCCTGTAGAGATTTTGTACACAAAGGAGCCGGAATTGGATTACTTGGATGCTTCGTTGCTGTGTGTTATGCAGATTCATCTATCCGAGCCGGAAGGAGATATTTTGCTATTTCTAACAGGGCAAGAAGAGATTGACACCGCATGTGAAGTTTTGCATCAGCGTATTAAGGCGCTGCAAGAGCGTGCTTTGGCTCCAGAACTTATTATACTTCCTGTTTATGGTGCACTACCTTCGGAAATGCAGTCGCGTATCTTTGAACCAGCACCCAAAGGCTCACGAAAATGTGTGGTGGCAACCAATATTGCTGAGGCGTCGTTGACAATTGACGGTATTTACTACGTTGTCGACCCTGGGTTTTGCAAGCAAAATGCATTTAATTCCAAGATTGGTATGGATTCTCTTGTCGTTGTACCATGCTCACAGGCGTCAGCGCGTCAACGTGCAGGTCGCGCTGGGCGTACGGGCCCAGGAAAATGCTACCGATTGTATACCGAGAGTGCTTATAAGAATGAAATGTTACCAACAACTGTGCCAGAGATTCAACGTGCGAATCTTGGTGCTGTAGTGCTTCAATTAAAGGCTATGGGTATCAACGACCTCATGGGATTCGATTTCATGGACCCGCCGCCACAAGATGCTCTCGTAATGGCTCTTGAAAACTTGTACGCATTAGGCGCACTAGACGATGAAGGCTTATTGACGCGGTTAGGCAAAAAAATGGCTGAGTTTCCCGTTGAGCCGAAGAATGCTAAAGTCTTATTGACTTCTGTGGTACTTGGCTGCTCAGAGGAAGTCTTAACCATCGTGGCAATGCTATCTGTGGAGTCCGTCTTTTTTCGACCTAAAGAGAAGCAGGCTCAGGCGGACCAGAAAAAGGCTAAGTTTCACCAGCCTGAAGGTGACCACTTGACCCTGCTGGCAGTTTATGAGGCTTGGGCTAATTCTAAATTTTCTAATCCATGGTGTTACGACAACTTTATCCAAGCTCGAGCTATTCGTCGTGCTCAAGATGTGCGCAAGCAACTACTCTCCATTCTTGATCGATACAAAATGGATGTTGTCTCTTGTGGCAAGAATTTTAACAAGGTTCGGCGAGCGATCGTTGCCGGATATTTTGCCAATACAGCGAAAAAAGATCCGCAAGAGGGATACCGCACAATGGTTGAAGGCCAGCCTGTGTATATTCACCCATCGAGTGCAATTTTTAACAAGAGTCCAGAGTGGGTGCTTTACCACGAGCTTGTGCTTACGACAAAGGAGTATATGCGCAACATCATGACGATTGAGCCGAAATGGCTCGTGGAATTGGCCCCAGCCTTCTTTAAGAAAGGCGATCCCACCAAGCTTTCAAAGCGCAAGCGCAATGAAAAGATCGAACCGCTGTACGATCGCTTTAATCCCCCCGACTCTTGGCGTTTAAGCAAGCGAAGAAATTAAGCTTAGCAGCAAAGTAGAAATGTTCAAACAGTTTGCACCACAAATGAATTGATTTGTTTCATCAATTATACCTAGCACTTTTGCCTTGCAGTTTGTCGCCTTGCTCACGAGTACGACGTCTTTGATACGATATAGTCCATGAAATAGCCAAAGCCTACTTGGATTAAAATGAAGATTGGCAGAAATACCGTTTCCAGCACTGTGTTATAGCGCGGAGCAACCCCATTTGCCAAAACCCGAAGAATAGAGATCATGGGATCGTTCGTAATACTGAACTGACCATCACTTAAGCCATTGATCAATGACTGTGCCACTTTATCCGGGTGCACCAGCTCGCTCACACCTTCGATGGTCTTAGTCTCAGCAGGTTTGGTACGATTTTCTTCTACATAACCAGGTGTATCAATGTTACCGGGATAAAAGATGCTTACGCGAATGCCATATAAGAGAAGCTCGTTACGCAGCGACTCGGCAAGTCCACGTAGCGCGTACTTGGACGCTGCGTATTGTGCGTACCCAATCCATGAGATTAGACCAAGACCAGAGCTCACCAATACAATTTGACCGCCTTTACCCCCTTCTGAACGCTGTATCATGGCAGGTAGTGCTGCTTTGATCGCGTGCAGCGTACCAAAGTAGTTGACATCCATTGTCTTCTTGTGTAGGCTCACGTCTTGCTGCAGAAAGTACCCAGGAGTAGAGAAACCCGCTGAGCATATCACATGGTCCGTAGCACGGCCATGAAACTTGTTGGCAGCCTCTACGGCCATCTGAACGCTTGCAAAATCCGCTACGTCGCATGATTGAATGAATACCTCAGAGTTGCAAGCGATCTCGATCTCCTGCTTCGACTCTTCCAGCTTGTCCTCATTTCGCGCGACGATAGACACCTTGGCCCCTTTCTGTGCATACTTTTTAGCCAGTGCTAGACCCAGACCAGAGCTTCCTCCAGTGATAAACACATGTTTGCCCTTTACTTTGAAGCCAGGGGCACGAAGTTTTGTAACAACATGGGACTGTCATGAGGATCAATTTAATATCAGATTGATTAGAATTAAAGCTTGATGATGCGGCATACCACGACGGAGACGCCAACAATGACTATTCCAACCAACCAGATATCTGCGATCATTACGGATGCAATTTTAGGCAGGAATGTAATAGTCTGGTATTTGAGTGGTTTGCAGTGCTGATGCTGTTTTGAACCGCCAGCCAATTAGAATCAAGCCAGCACCTGCTACGAACATTAATCGCACAGAAAGGGTAGGTATTCCAATTACCGCAGAAGCACCGAAAATCAACACACAGGGTGATGCTAAAGGAGAGCTGGAGCGATTTCTCGTGCTGAGCCGCGCTTTTACAACGGTCAGAAAGCTTCACCATTTTATCCCTCGTCTCTGTAGACTCGTCAACAGTCAATAATACATCGAATACATGGACTGCCGATCAATTGTCTGCACAGCTTCATCTCGTCTCGCCGCACATTCATCTCCAACCACTTTTGTGTCAACTTGAGAAAACCGCGCTCCAAATTCAGTCCCGCTGTTAAAACTCAGCAAAATTTCCGCGATGATTGTCCCCAGCGTCTTACGCTGGGCGTATAACTGTTGTCACTCTTGCGGCTGCCGCTCTTGCTGGCATTGACGTTGCTGTGCGGCATGTCGCCAAAGTACTTATTTTGATGAAATTGATCTGTCTTCATCGACACTTGAACTGGGCGTTCGTCGAGCATTCGAACGGGTGGCATCGACAAGAGCATGCGAAATAGTGTACACCGCAAAGATCAACATCTCGTCTAGCACAACGTATCGTTTGAGCTCTTTCGTGATAGAGTTGGTAGGTCAATTTTTTGGCAATAGCTGAACGCGGACATTTTATGCTTAAAACAGGTATACTTCCTATCGAGCGGTTCACATTTGATGTTGAAAGATTGACATTCATTCTAACCGACTAATATTATTGAATCAAAACCCTCGTCATGTCATCAAGTCAAATACGTTTTGGCGCTTCCAGACGTGCAACAGCAAATATAATTCGATCAGAAGCATCAAATTGACGCAGCGGCAATAATTATTGCATCAAAATGGTCGTCACGTCATCAGCACTTCGTAGCGAAGCATCCTTTGTTTTGCGTAGTCATCATAATGCTTAATACACGGGAAGCCTAGTGGTTTCATCGTAGCTTCATTTCTCGTTCGCCATGCTTCTCAAATTGTGATTTGACGCTTTTTGAGAGAGGTCTCGTGTCACGCTGTAAGCTGTAAATCAGCGAGCTAATTAAATGGCAATTAGGTGGCCATTTTTACCGCTTTTCTACCATCCAGCTCAAATCAGCGTACCAAATCGAGAACAGCATCTCGAGCCATGCTTTTTGGCTTGCTTCCTGGTCACATGATCAGCCAATCGCATTTCCCGATATGGCTAAGCGCTGTTTTTGCGGTTTGACCGTCAGAACCACCATGGTACATTCTCTGATGACCTCTCTTTTTATGAGCATAAATATGTGTGTGGATCCCCTATGGTGAAATTAAAATTGAAAATATCAGCATTCGAGTCCCGTAGGCCAGAGTGTATCTGGCAAATTGGACTGACAACACGTATACTACCGACAAATTTTATAGAAGGCATACGGAACTGTGTACTATACCCGGCAAGTAAGCGCCTTGATGATTTTGGAGAGATAAAGGTAGGGAGATTTATGAAAGTAACGCTCTACAACTAGAGAGCGATGCTCATTATGAGAGACGTAAACGTCAAAAGTTGATTTGACTGTGTCTAGTTAACAATCAGTACCGATCTTGCAAATATTGTAGTGGGTTAAGACTGCCTGTGCAGCTGGGCTGCCGTTTCTCTTTCGCTTAGGGGAAGCTTGGTTAAGGTCGGTGACCTTCGTTCTATACTTAAAACCAGTACAAGTGGAGCGAATTGCAATCCACTTTCTTCAAAAGTGATTTCAACCTTGAAACAAGGCTAATTAACACTTCTGTTCAAAACGTAAGCTGGATTTCTCGATTTTAATTGCGGCGAAGGCGCCTATATCTAAATCTATAGGTTTTCTTATTTATACAATAAAATCTAATTAAACCTACAACTACTGGCAGTCCAGCCACGTACTGACTTCTTGATTTAGTGCAGCCACACCATCTTGTGTGATTCACACAGGGTACGTAAAATCCAGTTACATCTAGTCTTGAAAATGTGGCTTTTAGGTGCAAATGACGCTCTTTATCGCTAATCAGCTTGTATGCAATTGCTGCAATGTACCTGGATATTTAGCTTCTGTGGTTGAAATGATCGAATATCTGGGCAATCTCATAGAGGGCCCACATCAGCAACCTCAAGCCGAAGCTCTCGATCACGACGTTATGGATGCACCAAGCATGTCTTTGTCGTCGGGATTAAGGTTGGCGATGATGAGCGATCGAGCATCGACATCGAGCCTCTCCTCATAATCATGCTCCCTAAAAAGGCTTAGAGTCGCATTCGGTTTGGATCGATGCAAAAATGTGTGCTGATATCGGGGCTAGTGCCGAGACCGGTACCCTTGCTTCGCAGACACTAGCACAGCTATGATGGTTTACCTTTGTGTACCCATATATTATTCTGACAGCAGCACTAAAAACTTGAAAATGTCATTGCTGATATCATTGACACTTGCGACATGTATTCGACAATTGATGTAAATCAGACGATCATGATTGATGACACACAAAATATCTGTCACAGTCGAAAAGGACAATACTGGTAACGGTTCTGATGTACCAGAAGTAATATCTTTACTCGATATCTAGCGCTGCTCATATCTCCAGATTCCAATTTCTCCGATACTTATATGATGTTATGCGTGCGGTACATTGTGAAGGACGCTGAGAATCACAGCTGTATTCTCGAGATAACGACTTGGTGCCTCAACCAATAAAACTCTGCAAAAAAAGATTATCAGCTTATTTGTGACTAGTCAGGAAATGTAACCACGTCTACTTAGGGGTGGATTGTATCGCTTCATAAGTAATTTTGGTTTGGTATAAAAGAGACCGCAGTTTGCTGAACGAATATAGCAATAAATTGGGGTTAGCGACGACCTTGCGCGTGCAGGGTAACCACGCATAATTATGAATAGGTTTTGTACTTCTGGTGGAGTCGTACTGTCAATTTATATTTGTATCAATCATGGGTGGTACAATTTATTGAAACGCATCGATTTGTGTGCTTAGAGAATGGTATGTAGTTGCTGATAACGGGAGAGGCAAATATTTTTTTACCGTGGTGAGACGTACTAACGAGGGTGCTCCGCGAGCGCAACTATTTGTCCACACAACTTGTGCTGGTATTTTTCGGATGTCATGGAACTGCCTTATGTGCATATATAGATATTCTGACTGGTGTCTCAGCATAGACACAGAGCCGTGCCTTGCGTGCCATTACATATGATTTGGCACGACCACTCAATACTGACCAGGCCGAAAAACACACAAATATTGTCAGAGGTGAGCGAGTTTAATTGGCCGTTTCTTTTGAACGATGAAATATCATAGTACTGGTTTCCCATTACATCGGCCGTCGATGTGGCACAAAGTCCACAACTCGTGCCTTTGCAAGTCTCTTCCCTTACGATCGCATCAGACACAAGTATTCAGTACGAAGCCAATCCTTTGGGTCAGCGGGCACCGTATGATCAATGTCAAAAGGTTGCCGAGTATAATGTCGAAAATCAGAGAGTTTTGATGAAACGTAACAGGATATCGACCGTACTCTGATGTTCATGTACCTAGCTATATTGTCCTTCAAGCCTTAAGTCGGGCTCATAATGCAAGAATGTGGTGCTATCTTGATATTCATAATAAAAACTGATATAAATGATAAATACTATGAAAAGTATGGTCCGTGAGACACATGTGATGCTAGCTTAAGGCTTGCACGTTGTTACTATGGGTTTGCACTATCATGAGTTGCCCGCTGCGCCGCGGATGAGCCCTCGCTCACCTATACGTCGGATGTTCTGCTTAAGCAGAGCGCAACCCTAACGCCTGAACATTCCTCTTGCGCCAAACGCAGCATCGATTGTCTTATTTAAAAGCATCCTCTAAGATCGTACCATTCTTACTTAATGCTGTCAAAAATGACGATGAACAACATATTCAAATTCTGCACATCATTCCGCTGATATCGCAGCTATATAAGCAGCGTAGTGAAACCGACATCAGATTAGGACGTGGCATCAAGGTAGATGCCTACCACGTCAGTTCCTGTTGACAAATTTCCACTCATCCCCGCGAGCCTGCCAGTACAACTACCGGACTTGAACTTAGAACAAGGCTGGGCCTCCAATTCTCTAAGAGAAGTGCGTTGCGCAGGACAACTGGTCTCTTAATCGAGATAAAGGCAAAAGGTGCAGTAAGTCATAATCCGAAATGGCGCCTGCAAAATCTTGTCGGAATGGGTCCTCAAAGACTCTAATTGATGCCGATGTAAGAGTATCTCTTACATATTAGCTATAGTTATGGTGACTCCATCGGTCCATATCCGCTTCACATGGAAAGGCGCAATCTCTTGCTCAAACGACCAGTGCTTTTGAAGAACAGTCCTTCCGTGGTCGGCTCTCGTGAGCCCCCTCATTCATGGCGGCTTATCGACTTTCGCCGAGATTCCTACCATGCGCTGGAAAACGACATTCACTGAATTTGAATGCGTCATTTGAAGGTTCTCAAGTGGCTCGGAACCGTGTCGCTAAACTAAAGCAAAATATAGATTTTATATCGGAGATATTTGAGATTGTTGCTTAATCTTTAACAAAGCGCTTCGCATCTTCATAGCTTGTTAGAGCGAGGTTGTGTTATGGGTCAATCTTATCCACATGATCAAATTAAACATTTCTATATTAAAAGTTGGTCGCTTTTTTTTAAGCCAACAAACCCACAACACACTCATGACGAGTTTGCATTCTTTTCGGAACATTGAGTGCGTGGCTTCATCCCTTCTAGTAAGAAGAACGATGTATCAGGGTCAGCGCTTAGCTGACAGATGTGCTAGCAGCAGTTAATGATATCTTCACCCGCTACACATCTTTAAATATATGTTCTGTCTGCATCAGACATTCGCATGTGCTTTTGCACATTCTTGCTCACGGTCAGAGCGCCGACACTCGGTGCATGACAATCAATCTCGTCGATATCCATTCCTCATTTTTGCTGCAAAATTTTATCGGGCTGGTATCAGAACGTCAAATAAAACGACAGCATCTCACTAAAAAAACTTATGTCATTTCGATGTGGTGTCAAATGAACACTTCAAGTAACCAAACAAATGATGAAGGATACTGTGAAGCCTGTAAAGGCATTTGATATTGCTTTTTAGCTTAGAATCAGTAAGCCAAAGCACGACAATCCCTCTGCGCAAACGCATCAAAGAAGATATCTTACCAAGAAATTGACAGAATTTGCCTGACAAATAATCCTACGGGCGGTCGGCGATAGGCAATTAAAAGCGCCAAGTGCCTTATATAAAAGTAGGCCACACCTGTGATGTAATGCGCAGATCGAGGCAGAAAAAAGGTCACCAGCAATCCACATTAACGAAAAAACGGTCTAGCTGTATCCTTTTCCGTTCGTTGTCATTAACAGTAGCGAGTGAAGCGTTCTTTACAATTCTCAAAGACCACATCGCCGGTATTACTGAGGGAGATTTTTTAGAGGTCATTAATGAAATCCATTCCATTATAATGGAATGCCAACACTTTGGCAGGACAGATGAATTGACCGAAGGATCAGATGTATGGGGCGTAGGCTTAATCTTTGACTCGTTTGCGTCCGCACAAATGTGCTTGCCCACATATCCATGTCGGGTCACCATGAAATAACGCTTATTGAATCAATTGATTTTTTTTACCTTCGATGTGACCACCCAAAGGGGTATCGTGTGCCCCGTGCAGTATTGTATACTTGAGGTCTTTATCACGAGGTACCATCGTACGTCAAGTGAGAAGTGGTACAATGCTGTAATACAGCAAACCTTGGAATAAGAACGAGCAGACTACACGCATAAATGAACGGTATTCGAGCTTACTTCACAACGCTTTCGGCAACGTGACACATGTTGCATCAGGTTCGGTACGCGGTACACATTTCGCCACCGTCGTGCATAAAGTTCGAATGACGCAAAAGCATCTCTGCCACGAAATTTAGCCAACCAGGCGTACGCCTTACCTTGACATTCTCGTTGCGAAGAAGGCTGACCGATTCGCCAGTCTCTGTGAGAGGTGTGGTGTGTATTCCGACGTATCACCTGTATTGAATACGATTGGCTCGAGCAAACAAGCGCAACATGAAGTTGACAAGACCCGACATCAAAGCAGTCAATTCATTTAAGATTTCTGCTGATTTAAGCTGTCGAATTTCAGATGCGATGACACATCACCTATTTGTAGCGAAGCACAACCAACGGCGAAGGGTGACGTTTCACATACAAAATGGATAAGCTTATTTCAACATGGGAGGGCGAATTTGAAGCCCACATGACAGTTTCCCTAACAACCTTGAACGCAGTCTCTTCAACCACCAAAATTATTTTATGAGGAGATTGGTGAGGACCGTTCCATTTCAGCATCTTTTGCACAGGAACTGTGCAGGTAGTTGACCAAGCCAATTCCCCATGTCCCTCTGGGTCAGAGTTCTGGTCGATTCATTTTGAGATTTGTCTTTGCGAGATCTGCCTCATCATAATGAAGCAACCTCAAAGAAGATCTATTTGGCACTAGCGACACATTTTAGCTTTAATGGAGACCAGCATATTGAAGTGCATACATATCAGCATTTCTGTTTGTCTGGTTCGGCTATCCCACCCTCGTGTTCTGGACGACTATGTTACGATTATATCGTAACATAGATTTGTGCATAGTAATTGTGTGGCCCGAACAGCTGCGCCACCTGACAATTGAAAGTCGATAGTAAGAACAACACTCTCGGCTGCATAACTAGCTACCCCAGAGCACTCCACTATAATAATCCCCCGCTATGAGAGCGATAATGCTCTCCCGCGTGATTAATTGATGTAGCTTTTGCTAGGGGAAAATCACTGAGCGCGGTGCATCTGACTGCGCTGTTAAATGGGCAAATCGAAAGCTCACATCGCGTATCGTCAGCAAGTCTGCAAGAATATTTGCGTTTTGCAAATGCTGAATATCCACGGATTTGGTTGCAAGATCCCATGACCATAATCGAGTGTGGATTATCTGGACGGATTTTCGATGGGACTGCTGGATGTCCGGTACATATATGAGCCTTCTCCTTCAGCACGTGTAATCGGTTCAATGGCACATTGCGCCATTGAACGCAATGGCGCCATTCGAGTTAAACTCGAGCTTCCAATCGACTGATGAGTTCGTCAAACTCTAAGTTTCCACCATCACGTCGGTTGTGGATCTCGTGACGACGTTACTGTAGCGCAAATACACTGGATGACTAAACTCGTTAATGGGCTCTTAATAGCAATCATACTTCGCCTTATCTGGTCGCTTGATGTCAGGTTTTGGCTCAACGTGCGGAAGAGCCGTTCGACGTGGAATTGGAGCATCATCCAAGTTCAATGATGGCGGTGACGCCTTCACATTCTCGAATTGAGGTGCAGTTTTACTCTGCGCTCGCCGTCGGCGCAAGTCGTCTTCGACGCGTTTGATTTTGTGTGAGATCACGAATGACCGAGTCTCAGAGTCGAAAAAAGCTCGGGAAAGTATGGAGAAAGGTCGAAGTAAATCCACTTTTGAGTACGGGCGGTATAATGGGGTCAGTCCCATTACATATGCTGTGTGAGCCAATAATGATGTGTGTGGTTGGCCTTAACTATATAACTTGCATAGCCGTATATTTCTTAATTCTGTTTTGTCAGACTTGGAGGCACTTATAGTTTACGGAAGGTTTATGCCCTATCGGCCATAATAAATACCACTTGAGGGAGATTTGTGATTAGAGGAAGCTTCCTTGGATCATCCGCGTATAAACGGACGAGTTATTCCCGTTACAACTTCACAGAGCATACTGGATATATATTCAGCCCAAGATGACAATCTACAACCTCAAAGCGTTACGGGAGGCGACATTCTTTGACCCTAAAATTACATTGTATGCAATCAACAAACAATATTGCCATGGCTGGATTAGCCTGGATTAGCACCTGATACATAACATATGCATGCAGGCTACGAGCGCAAAAATATTCACTGGCGTTACAAATCATGTTTTCGTTTAAGGCTCTGAACGTTGCAATTTAAGTCATACTTCACGTAAGAGTCCTTGACACATCTAAAACCTTCACTTTTGGTTTCAGTAACACTAATTTTTTCACTGCATATTTCAAGTACCTTACGCATAATTTGTGTGCAGCAGGACGAGCACAATGATGAGCTTAGTATCACGGCTTTGGTTGGCGCAACGAGAAATAAGTTGAATGTCACGCCTTTTGATGCTCTGAAATTCGGACGCTTTGAACTTGTCGACCACTACCCGAAAATTAGCTGATGAATTGTATGCCGTACTGTATCTAAAGCGATGCGGCCAACGTAATTTTTCGTTATAAATTAGTCAACGTCATCCAAAATATGTAAATAAATGATTCTGATTCAAATTTTACTTCATGTGTGGCAGTATTACGTATTATTGATGCAATTTCAGTTAGTATAGAGTGGGCGCATCATGCTGTTAAAGCAGCTCTCAGGGAAATGTATACTGCGTACATAACTCGCTCCCGAAACAAAAATATTCAGGTTTGCAAAAATGAAGGCATCCTCATACACGTGAAATCAGCAGAAGCAACAGACAGAGCACTGAAGTTGCAATGACATTGTTCTTTTCTACATGCCTCGAGGCTTAGGACCACCAGCCGCCTTAGCCATGATGATCTGGTCAACACGGAGAACTGTGATGGCAGCATCAGCACCAAGTCGAATAGCAGACATTTTGGTTTGAAGATGATCCCAAATGCCTTTGTCCAATGCATCTGAAATTACGTGAGACTTTTGCTCATTCTACAGTTAACAAGGCAAAAAATTAGTTTGATCAGTGGATGACGAGGCAGATATGTACTTACGTCCACATCCACTCCAGCATTAACATTGCCTGCCGCGTGAGCAGCGTACAAGCTTGAGAGCACCTCCGTGGCCATCTGACCCGAATTTTCTGCCAGAATTCGGGGCACAACCTCAATCGCTTCACCAAACTTTTTAATGGCATACTGGTCAAGACCCGGAGTGGCTTCACCGAAGTTCTTGATCTGACGCGATAATTCGATCTCTGTTGAGCCCGCACCAGAGACGAATCGACCGTCTCGGCACACCGATTTAACACAATTCACCCCGTCATCAATAGCCCGTTCAATGTCATTCAGCACATTGTCGGTGCTAGCACGCAGCACAATTGTCGCGATCTTGGCATCCTCTTCGTCTTGCTGAAAAACAGTAACTTTCTTGCCACCAATTTCCTTGACTAGAACACTGTCGCAAAAACCCATTTCGTCGGGTGTCGGGGCTCCAAGACGAACTAGAGCGTTGGCATTCACAGCACGACACAATCGACGTAGTTCCCACTTGGATTGAATCTTGATCGTCATTAAATTGTATTTTTCTAAAAAATGAAGCGCCATTTCACTGATACTACCACCTGAGACAACCACTGTAGCTCCTGAATCACTGATGGCCTGGACAGCTTCCTCCAGCTTTTTCTCCTCCCCCTTGTTGTAGTTCATGAGTTCATCCGCGTCTTTAATAAGTACAGTGCTCTTAGCTTCAGTAGACGAGATCTCGATACCGCATCCATACACTGCGACTTTCGCCTTCAGAGCCTTCTTAATATTACCTTCAGTGTTACGCAGAATTACCATACCACGGATAACAGTCGAGTCGTTCAAGTTTCCACCCATGATTTTGGCTACACGAATGTTGTCCACGTTAATTGACGGTCTTTTAGGAGCTGCAGGCATGACGTTCAGACAAGCATCGGCCACGAGCTTAGCGAGTAAGTCTTCGTATCCGTACTGTTTCGAAGCCAGCGACGTTTTAATAGCCTTCTCTAGCTCATTTTGGTCGCGTGGGTCCCGGACCTGCACACTTTGTAGAGCTTGCAAAATCTCTTGGCACTTATCGTGCGCCTTTTCATAGCCCGTGACGATCTCGCTAGCGTGCAGACCCATGCGTAACAGACTTGCGGCCTCCATGAGTAATTCGCCTGCTAGCGCTACAACGAGGCACGTGCCGTCTCCATAGTCGTTCTCCTGCATCTTTGCAGCCATGACAACCATACGCGCGGCTGGATGAATGACTTCTAATTCTTTCACAATAGTCGCTGTGTCGCTCGTGACGAAGATACGTTCTAAGTGGTTGATCACAAGCTTATTCATTCCGTTAGGACCAAGTGACGAACGCGTAATAGCCGCCAACTGTTTTACAGCGTCGATATTTTTGGCTACAGCCTCATTGACGCCCTCAAAGTGTTTGTGACCATCCTTCAATAGTGACGACAGACCACCAGCCACGTTTAATCCCATTGACTTGGCCATGATTGCTGGAGCTGGTTAAAAAGATTCTGCGATGTATACATCGATTGGTAAAAGTTTACAATACGAATTTAAGCCAATCGTAGAATGATAGAATTTCAAACCTAGGAACCAAACGTCAAGGTCAAGACTGTGTCAAGCGTATTTTATGGATGCGTTTTCGCTCAACATCTCTGCTTCTAGCGGTGTGCGCAAGCCTGGTAAGCAGAAAAATACCTTTCGCGCTAAGAAATTGGCCAGGCGTGCCAAGGTAAAAGCAAAAAAGCTAGGAAATGTGACTCAAAAGCCATCCCACCACCAATTCGGACAACGTCGTAATAACTACCCGCGCAATGAATCAAATCATATGGAAGTAGAGACTCGCAAAATACAAACGGTACTTGATGCACCTAAGGTCAAAATTAACCCTTATGAATCTGCGGAAGCGATAGAAGATATGCCGATGAAACAGGAAGAGCCTGACGCAATGAGCGATGTATCGAAAAAGGAGGTAGAAGTGCTAGTAGAAACCCAAGTTAATGTTGAATGCGATCCAGTTGCAACAGAATCGATACAATCGAAGAATAATAAGTCGTTTGGCACGCGTCGCAATCCTAACAAACAGGACTATAATTTATCGAAGTTCACTCAGCCTCGTGTCCAGATTGATAATGAATTGTCCAAACCGTTGATATCATCATCAAGTGATAGGATTTTTGCAGCCAACACGTTCGAGTCGATGCAAATGGCAGAAAAATTGGTGAATGTGCTTAAAAAGGATACAGAGAGTGGTGGCTTTGGTTTTGCACGGCCAACCTATGTGCAGGTGCAAACAATACCATCAGTGCTTAACGGCAATGACGTACTGGTCAAAAGTGAAACAGGATCTGGAAAAACACTTGCGTATCTGTTACCGATTGTTCAAAAACTTCAAGCAGTGTTGCCGAAAATTCAGCGACAAGATGGCTGCATGGCGCTGGTCTTGGCGCCAACTCGTGAGTTGTGTACGCAGATTTTAGAGACGGCTAATCGACTTATTCAGCCGTTTGTGTACCTCGTGCCTGGTGCCATAATCGGTGGCGAGAAGAAGAAAGCAGAAAAGGCACGACTTCGTAAGGGTATCACGATTTTGATCGCTACTCCTGGTCGTTTAGCAGACCATCTTGTGAACACCCAATCATTTAACTACTCTCGTCTGCAATTTCTAGTGCTTGACGAAGCAGATCGTCTATTGGATATGGGCTTTGAGAAGCAGCTTACTCAAATTTTGACCATTCTGGACGCCAAAACGCAGTCGCAAAAGCGGCAGAACCTTTTAGTATCTGCCACTGTTAGTAGTGGCGTGGAGCAGCTCGCCAAGATGAGTTTGTCTAATGCTGTGTTTATCGATGCCGACGTAATTAGTAGCGGTGTTGATGTCCCATCTCCAACCAAGGCGTCAAGTCAAGACAAGTTTTCGACTCCGCATCAATTAGTGCAACATTTCATGCTCGTGCCGGCAAAAACACGATTGTGTGCACTAACTTGTTTTTTGCGAGAGGAACTGCGCTATACCTCTCAAGGTTCAATAAGGAGTGCTTCGGACAAATGCAAAATTGTTGTATTTTTGTCAACTTGTGACGCTGTGGACTTTCACCACGCTCTATTTCGAAAGTGTGCTTGGCCATCGGGAAAGGGATCACCGGAAGAATCCGAGAACAGCGCAGGCAATGACTCTGCGTCGCTCTTTGGCAGTCAGGGTCCTGTCTTTCGTCTGCATGGAAACATACCCCAACAGAAGCGTGTGGCTACTTTTAAAACCTTCTGCTCTTCCACATCCGGCATACTGCTGTGCACTGATGTTGCAGCACGTGGTTTAAATTTGCCGACGGTCAAGTGGATTGTACAGTATGATCCACCCACTGAAACTCGTGACTACGTGCATCGTGTTGGTCGTACAGCTCGAAGTGGAAACCAAGGAAGCAGTCTTTTGTTTTTGATGCCTTCCGAGTCAGATTATCTCAACTATCTGAGCAAACAAGGATTAAAGTTAAATGCTTTGAGTCTGGAAAAGACTGTCGCACGGGTTGGAAAACATGGGGGATTTTTGACTACTCGCAAAAAACTGCTCCATGAGGTTGTACAGAGTGATCTACAATTTTTATTTGAGCAGACACTTCTAGCAGACAAAGATCTCTTTGAATTGGCATGTCAAGCGTTCCACTCGTTTGTTCGTAGTTACGCTACACACTCGTCCGATACACGAAACATTTTCCACGTCCGTAGTCTGCACTTTGGTCACGTTGCCAAAAGTTTTGCATTGCGTGACCCACCTGCGTCTTCAAAATTGCGTGAAACAGGGCGAAACGCAAAAAAGGGTTCGCTACAGAAGCGCAAGGAACGTGATGACAAGCAACAGGCCGTGATTGCGAAAAAGCAAAGGAAGTTGCGTGATAAGAAGCGTCACTATGCACATAATGTCTCGGAATTTGCTGACTAGCCAAAACATCATTTTAGACAATTTTACCGTTTCTTTCTCACCTCTATTATTTCAAACTGCTCTAAAGTAGACAAATTGTTAGTCGACAAATTGTTTCGCTCTAAGTACTCTTTCTCTTCTTAGATTGCTGTTGCTTAACCTTTTTGGCAGCCAAATGCTTCTGTGCAGACTTTCCCTTGTTCTTCTTGGACTTACGATCAAAAAGCGGCGCAAATATTTTAGCAACGTCCGAGTTTTCATCCATATTGATAACAACACCATCAATAGCGATAGGAAATTCTGGGAAAGCACTATCACAAAAATATATAGTCGTCAATTTACCATACAACAAAAAGTAACAAGAAAAATTACCGAAGCAACGTCTGCAGTGCGAAGGCAGCACTAAAACATTGCTGAGCGAGCGTGATCTCCTCTGATTTATGACCATTCACTTCCAAAAAGTGTTGCACCATCAAAAGCGCTGCTGCTGGGTTCTCCAACTGCAGCTCTATGAAGCGTGCAAACTCGTGAACCACTGCTTCGCGTTCGTGCATCCACTGTACCTTCTGCACCGCAAACTGTCGATTTTGAAAATCGAACTTGCCAATAATTTGAGGCTTGGGATAGTCATTTTTATCTTCTTCCACATCCGTGTCCTCCTCGCTATATTTTGACGTGGAAAGTTTATTTCCATGCGGCTTCTGGCTGCGCACTAGAGCCAATAATGTTCGTCGCTGCTGCTCCGTTGAGCAGAGCGATAGGATCAGATCCAAGCCATACGTGACACCTTTAGGAAGAACTTGAGGACGAAGTGTCGGGGCCAACGTCGTCACAATGTCCTGGAGCTGCTGTACAGCAGTCATTGGGTCAATTGTCATGATGTGGTAAGTGGCTAGTGTTTAAATAAAATAAAAAGGCTATGAGATTTGTAGAAATTTTTAATTAGTCAAAGTCCACCAAGAATCTAATCATCCCTGATGATGGCAGCAGTACTGCCCGTAGAAGATGCGAAGTCAGTGGACGTGCAGCTGATTCGACATCGAATGCTGAAAGGTCTGCCGCCCCAAGATGTACATGAATATTTATGGAGAGTGAGACTTGAAGCAGAAACAATACCGGATGTTGTAGTGGCTTTAGACGTCGATCCAAGGCAATTTGATTCCCAACAGACCAGCAACATGCCAAAGTTGCAAACGTTTGGTAGTGATGAAATGGTCCAAAATTGTCGTCCAAACAAAGAGTGGAGAGCAGAATTGCTGGCTAATTTTGCAGAGTTAAGGCAGTTAATTGCACGGTGGGAAGCCATTGGGCCGCCTGATGCGGAGGATTCAAATAGTGATATCCCCACTGAAACATTACGTACGAATGTCCCCAAGATGAAGGACGAAGAAGGATGGATCAATTTTTTTTTCGGCAAAGAAGATGAGTCGTTGGCTACTCCGCCACACTTGCGCCTATTGCTGAAATTTGATCAAGTGCTGACGAGAAGACTTCTCGACTATCATGCCGCATGGCTTTGTGAGGGTGTAACTTTGCTTACTAAAGCACGAGCTGTATGGATATATGCATTACTCGCTAGGCTAGATAAGCCCGTTCATTCGAATGTAGCAGCAGTAATTCGACAAATTCTACGACGCTGTTGGACACTGAGGTGCGAGCTGGAACCACAGTCAGAGGCCCAAATTAAACTGCTAAACATTCTTATCGTCATAACTGGAGATTATTTTGGGCAATTGCATAACGCGGAGTGATGGACTATACTCACTTTTATAATATTGTTATTTGCCAAAATATAGAGAAAACATTACTGAAGTTCTCGAGAAAATTGTAATTTGAACTAAGCAAATAGAGATAAATGCCTAATCTACGAACACTATATTATAATATAATCACTCGCGAGACTGCTATGGGATAATTGGTAAATCAACAAGACTGCAGAGATGATATTGCATAGAGCAGAAGGAGGGAGTGCACCATGAATAGTTAGAAGCAGTTCAGAGACGGCGGCACCAGAGTAGCAAACTAAATGTGCCTTGTCGGGTAGTCGTCGGTACATAATAAAACATTCAATACCGACAATTAGTATCTTTTTTTTAAAGTGGGTACTAGTTTCGTTGCTGTAAATTGACTTTTGCAACACCATACGAAAAATTCGTCTAAGCGCCATATGTGCAAGTGTGAATGCAGCTGACCTTGCGTAAGAGGGATCTTGTGCAAGTTTATTTGAACGATCCTACAACGATTGCGGACCGGCTTCTTCTAAACAGTCAATTAAATGCAGATGTTCATGTGGATGATGAAGGGGTTTCGTATAGTTAATGGGTGCTTAGTGAAGATTGGTCGGCACGGCCTTATATTAATGGAACGATGTGCTCGAGTTTATATGCTGTCGGTGATGCTCGAAATCAAAAATGTCTTTGGTTTGAAAATGCTAGGTCAGTTCCGTTTTATGCAGACCAAATGCTTTCGTTCTGCATGCAAGTCGGCAAGTCACAAGCGACATCAGAGTGAATGAGGTCTGGCGCTACAACTTGAATTAAAAAGTTATTTCAGACGCAGAACCATACTGGACCCTTCTTTTTAAAGATAATATCAGATACTATAAAGTGCGCAAGCTCGGCTGATAGAAGAATAAAATGCTTCTTCGTCTCTATTTTCATAGTCAATGCTGCTCCGCTGCATCGCAAAAGAACTTATAGACATGTTCGACATTATCATAACTGACTTATATTGACTGAACGCGTACTAGTGCGCGATCACTACGCGCTAAATTTAAACTTCGATAATGCAGGCAGCTGATTCGATAATCTTTGTTGAATTTATAGCAACACGATCCGCATAGTCAACGACACCTAGTCATGATAGCTTTATGCGCGCGGCACCTTCACCGAAGCCGCGGTATGACTTACGTCAGGATGCGATGTACTTGCACAAAGTCCTTACCTTATTGTTTTTGCCAAGAACAATAAGGCTGCTGAGTTTAACCTGGCGATTTACCACACCAAAATGTACCGGATGTCAGGTACTCCCAGATGGCTTTAAGTGATTGGCTGGCAGCACAATCTGTCTTTTCTGACACTGGTGTGGCTTTTCTGAACGAACGACTGCCCTTTCTGCCAAGACATGTTCAGCGACTGCTCGAGCATCAGTGTGTGGACCCCATTAACGTGCAGCCAGCGCAGATTATTCCAGCTGGCGTCGAAGAAAATCACTCAACGGATGCGACAGTGCTCATTGTAGAACTTGCAGTGCAAGGAAACAACATTGTGGGAGCCAGTCAGCTCCCGTGCCCCTAAAGCACAATTGCAGCCTCAACCTCTGCCCCCAGGCCAAGGTCACCAGAACTGCAAACTCGGATGATTGGTAGCTGGATTTTACAGCGAAGGCGCTCTCAGAGCGAACTACCTCGCCTGTACGAATTAGAGCGCGCCGTTCAGGCCGAAATTAAGGACATTTGTGGTCGTGAAGAGCTTTTTTTGCGCTCAACATCAGAACTTACATCTTTGATGAAAAAGCTCGGTCAAAAACATGGCCGCGCCTACTTTCGTTACGTGTTGCGCAATGTATTTGGCGAAAAGTCCATGCTCTACGAAGTTTGCGGACCCCCCTCGACAAAACAGGTCTGTGCGTACGCCAAAAGCGTCATTCAGCGGATGGCCAAAGCTATTCACTTTGCTCCGCTCGTATTACGTGCTTGCTGCTACTACATGCTTACTGAATTTCGCAAGGCCTTCCCGGATTGCAAGCAAGATGCGCGTATTGTGGTAGGGAGTCTGCTCTTCCTACGTATTATTTGTCCCGCGCTCATCAAACCCGAAATGTTCGACTTTCCTGCACATACGTCGCAGTCGCTGCCCGTGGCTGTGCAGATTGCTAAAATCTTGCAGCACACTCTTAGTGGCACACCAGTCGGCGACAGCAATTCCGGGTGTGACGATAGCAACGCCTTTATCAATACCTACCAGCCCTTTGTCGCGAGTTTTCTCGTGCGTTTCCCACAACTGCGAGTTGTATCCGGATGTGATGAACCATCGCAGATGTCTGAATGGTGTGAACTTGCAGCGTGGGATGGCCGTAATGTGTCGTCCTCAGGTACTAGTAACTGGAGAGCATCACAATTCTGGAATGTCCAGCGCCCTACCGGCAAATTCCGCGGGCTGTCTTTGAGTGTTAGTGATGTGATCAAAAACAAAAAGAAGTTTTCACTGCGATTTTGGTCGAGAGGTTCTACTGGTGATGTTAACGTCTCCCAGCGGCCAACTCCATCAAACAGCTAGCGCCATGCGTTTTGTCAGGGTAGAACTATAATCTTATTTAATCAACTATCATTGTCCTGAAACTAAGATGACAGTTATAAATTTTCATCGTATTCATCAAGAGGTGGAGTCACAGTCATACATGACCAAGCTGCATCGACTTCGTCACTTTCTAAGTACAAGAAGTCTTCACATCTTTTTGGCGTGTCAACAGATATTACTGTATTCAAGTTTAAGTTTGAGTGCAATATTTCCTATAATTTTGAATGTTGTTGAATTGGTTCTACATTGCATATGAACGACACAGACATCTTGCCAATAAACAAAGCGACAGCCTACGCGGGTGGAGAGCTGACATGCGCATTCGGATGCGCTGGGAGCATCTATATAGGGGCCACGGACGGATATCTATCTAGAATTGTTGATAAAGTGGATACTATCAGACGTGTGCGCGCAAATACCACAAACGCGATGTATGAATCAGATGACAGTAACAATTATGAGCTATCATTGACACGCACGCTTTGGAGTGTCCGCGTCTGTATGCATGCAATAACGGTGTCTTTTTTTATATCGACATGCAGAGTGTTATACTCATGTCTGATTCAAAATGAATGTCAAATTATATATGCTGTGACAGAGTGTGTGCAGCATTGAAGAGCTAAACAAAGGCACGCTAATAATTGTTGGAAGTGCTGGTGGCGAGCTAGTAATTTTACGTGAGGATCTGGTGAGAAAATATTTCTGTCAAGATTGTGTAGCGATGTCGCAGTAGGGCTGATTTTTTGTTGCTGTGGACAGGAGCTGCGGCGATTTAATTTAGATAGTGCCGTGCAACATATTTGCGTTGATCAGGACGGTGAGTTGATTGCTGGAGACCTTCTTGGCAATCTATACGGCATTACTCAGCACGAAATCATCTGGAAGGTGAAAAAATGCCGATGATTTGGGATATTTCTTAATCTATCCTTACGATTGAAATACATTCTTAAACAGAGACGACTACCGTCGATGTCCACTAGAAATGAAGTTGGACTTGATTACTTTTACCCACCACTTTCGCAGCCAACAATCAAAGCGATCTCGCACGTCAAATTGCTGGACGTCGAAAAGACACTTTCAAAGTACCTCCTTGTGGCTACTGGACAGAAACAGTTGCTGATGACTTATCGCGGCAAAACCTTTGGCATCATTCCTACTTGCACGCCAATTGCAACGTTGACGAGCATCCCATTTGATGATGAAGACATTGTTTTGGCGGCTGGGGAGGAAGGGTGAGAAATATTTCAATAATATCATTGTCACCTGGCGACTAATTTAAGCTATTAATGGCAGAGTGATCTATCGTGTTATGAGCTCTCAAGACATTGATTCAAAGGTGATGCCGAACTTCTGCTTCGTTGTCAAAAAGTGGACTCAAGTGTCCTTTCCTGTGGCGAAATTGTTACCTCTCAAGATGAAAGTGTCTGGTACGAATGCGAAGCATTCAGACTATGCATACATCTGCCTTGGCGTGGATGGCGAAGTAGCGCTTTTTCGTGGACAAGAGCTTGTAAAAGAATGGAGTCTTGCATCATTCAGCAAAACATGCAATGTGGAAGCGGATTTCCCAGTCGATATGACTCTGCTGCACGATGGCGATACCAATATTGGGCAACAAGTTGGAATTATTGTATATCCTAAGAGAATACACGCTTTCCCAATCGGGCTCGCGAGTCAACAATAGTGCGTAGCTCTCCAAATAAACAGAAGTTGATGATAAGCGATTTGTAATTTACTTAAAAATATATTCTTTGACAGAATGGAGTTCCTGCTACTCGGTCAAGTAAGGACGTCGATAGAGCACCAAATTCTTTCCATCGAAAGGTAGAAATGCTTTTTCGATATCGGGATGTTTAGCGGTCAGGTACTCAACCAGGTGCTCGTATGACAAGACTTTGCTACCATCTACAAGTCTTCGATCTGGAAAGTTCTGTCCAAAGACGCAGCACGGCACCACTGCGAAAGGCTTGTTGAACTTAATGGCTACGTCCAAAATAGAATCGGTGGCCTGGTCCGGGTGCATGCCTAGAAGAAGCGAAGCTTGCTCGATAAGTTGAAGATTTTCCATATTTTCCAAAAAAGAATTCTCGTTGAAGAATGCTGCAACTTGCGGCACAAGTGTCTCATTTGCTGATGCATTTGCTCCACCAGATTGTTTGTGCTTCAATTTTAAGTAATTGTGTTGTTGTTTCGATAGCTTCATCGGTCGCTGTCGACGTTTAAATTTGCGTTACAGCGGGCTAATTTATTTGATGAAGTAGTTTCAAAGCATGACGTACCGGTTCGATGAGGGTGCACGGCAATCCCCGCTTGTTCCACAACTCAAAAGAGACACTACCTCTACCACCTGCAATATCTAAGACTCCTTTGCCGGACGCAAGAAACTTCATCCCGAATATCTTAACCAACCAATCTACAAATACTTGTGCACGTTGCTGCTTTCCTGTTTTACCATGCGGATCCAACGGGTCTTCAATTATGTGAGCTCGACTTCGTTTGGAATGCAATCGCTCTTTTATCCACTTTGCGCGCACAGTTTTTATATCGGCATCGCTGACATGGACAAACTTGCAACTGTCTCCGTATTGACATGTTTTCGAATTGATCCAGAACTTGCAGTGCATTTGTTCGCCAATAGCTCGAACAACACTTTTTTGTGTACCAGACCGTGCGTCATTTTCTACACCATCACCTTGTTTATCCTCATCATTTAATAGCCGTTTATTCATTAAAGCCGTTAGCAAGGGAACAAAAGTCACTTCAGGAAATTCATCTTTCCACGCTCGGTCAACGATAATATCGCGCGCGTGAAGTAACAATGTGCCATTTGTCAGACGCTCCATAAATCCTCGGACGTTGATAGTATCCCCAACTTTGATTTGGTATCGGATGGTGTCAATTCTGTCTACTGACAATTCGTCGTCGATGACCTTGAGGATAACCTCAAGCCAGTCTCGCTCGCCATCCGAATTTGTCAACACCGATGCCATGTCGAAGAACGAGCATTTTCGACTTATGCATCGTCGATGCATTAATTGACCTTTCACTATAATGTCACATGTTAGCGCTTTACTTGTTGCCACCTGCTCACGTAACTCTGCAAAGTTTGTCCACACCATCATTTTCAAGGTCAATGTTACCACTTTGATTGGCTATCCACAAAAACTCGTTGTTTTATTTAACGAATGGAAATATTTCACATAAAACTTAATTTCTTCTGTCTGAAATATTTTATCTGTAGTATTTCATAAACAGTTGTGTACGGCCAAAGTACTGAGGAATTAACACTAACTGAACTTGGTGTCATGTGAGCAAAAATTAAATATTGAAAGAGAAAGGAAAACCGTCTGCCCCCCCCTCAACATTAAGAAGGACCAAAAGATGGACGAATCCAAGCATGCTGTCGTTTAACTTGTAATAGTGCATGGCATCGCGAGGACATTCACAAAGTTGACCAATTAAACTGACCATAGGTGGCTGTTTACGCTCATCTGTTACTAGTACCGATTTCCTTCAACTAGAACTCGCGATACATTAAAAAAACAGCGATGTCACATGTCTAGACGAGTATATTATTGCAAGTGACTCGTCCTTATTGACTTCATTGCCTACCAACAGCAAACCTAATTTGACGTAGTGAAATATGCCCCAATAAAATCACCTTTAAGTTTACTGCAAAATTGCAATCGCTTCGGTGCACTCCATTTTGATGACGCGTCAGCATTCGATTATTCTAACAGTGCAACTGGGTTCCGTTGAATTTGCAAAGAGCAACGTTCATATTTAAGAGCCCGCGCTAACAAACGCTCAGAGGTGGTTCGTGCGCTTCTATCAGGAACGGAACCAAGAGCCTCTACTGTAAGTAGGTGTCGAGTAGCATTGTCATCTTTGATAATATATACTGAATTAATGTCACGTAGCGCAGGCGAAGAAACGTTGGCGGAGGAAGGCGAAGTCGGGAGCGCAAGGTGAGCGCTGGCGGAGTCTGTTGGAGAGGAGGTTCTGCTGGCTTGGAGGAAAAATGAGAAGTGATTGATTGATCGTTCAGTTTATCGGGACGCTGGGCTTACTAGCCACTCCGTCCTTGGCGACCTAGACACGCAACATGTATCCAGGCCCCATCCTGAATCCTATCTATTCTCAAATCCTATCCTATCTTTCTAAACCAATGAAAATCTACTTTTTTTACACGTAACTTGAATATTCCGGCTGTCACTTGATTCCTTGTCGTACCGTCGGCTGCGGAACCGAATAATTGCCTGTCCGTAGACTTTCAACCAATGAGCAATTGCCAACGTCGATGTTGACGCTCCAACATCAAGCGTATGATGTTGTTGATTATTCCAGCATGGTAATATTGTCCAATAAGAATGTACGATTGAGATAAGACATGTAAAAATTGATCTTTTGCAAAATTTGGCGTGATCGTCTTCTGCTTTACGGCAAGCAGTTGGCGACCACGTCACATGATCTCCTTTCGAAGAAAGGCCCACTACGTTGAAGACAGCTTCGTCTTCTTCTTTGAGTTCCAGTATTATTAGATCAAACCCGAAATCTGTGTCAGGTTTTTCACTGGTTCTA